GAGTCGATCTATGGAGCATTTGCTCTCGGATCACAACCTCTTCAATGCAGGAGAATAAGCCTATTTCCAGGCTCAAAGTCAGTTATTTATTGTCATTGATATTTTCATTTGTTCACCCCTTTTTTTCCTTCTCTTCTTTTAGTTGCTAAATGGGGATCCATGAGGCAATGATAATTTTCCTGTCATTCTGGTGGATATTGGTTGCAGTCATTGCCATCAAACTCACATACCCCAAGGAAATACTCTCCTTCACGTCTATGTCAGAGTTTGTACCTGACATTGTTAACTTATTGTCTGTTAACTCTTTGCATCTGGTTGTGGCTCTTTTGCACATGTCACAACTCTATACAGCATTATATTCAAAATTTAATTAACCCATCGACTTTTGATTCACCATATAAGATATGGTCTGCCTTAGACAGTTGAATGTGAGTGTGCCATATATGTGTTTAGACCAGCCACAGTCAATGGGTTAAACAACGTTTTTTCCAATTTGTGTCAATAAACTTGAAAAAAAAAAGAATTTTAGCATTCAAATTTTTGTATTGTGTAAATTTTAACTTCTTAATTTAAAAAAGGAAATGATGCATCTTGGCACCAAGTTCTCCACTTCAGAATTTTCTAACTTATAAAATAGGCTGCATTCAAACAATTAGAAACACATATTAGAAATAATAAAAACCAAAGTGTGAAATTTGAACATCCTACCTTCTTGATTTGCTGAAATATCAATAAATTTGTCAAACCCATCAGAGAAAACCCCCTCTCTCTCTGACTTGAGATTGTTTGCTAATCAATTTTACATGGCTGATAGACATGATTATAATCAATAGAAAGAACATGTTTTTCTCTTTATCAAGCTTACAATCATCCTTTTGAATTTGGTAGGGACATTATTCACTTGATAGATATTTTGTGTCATGATTGTGGTACTGCTACTGTTTATTGCTTAGTGAGTAAGTCTGATAAATTACAATTCTAGTGATGGATATATGTCTTTTGTTCTAAAATGCATATGTGAAAGCTGCATGAATTATTTTTGGTCATCCAAACTTGTGAGATTCAACAAGGCTTAGGAAAAAAATGACCAGCATCAGATTCGCACGTGCTTGAAAATCAGTTTGATAGCACTTTGAGTATGTCTATAAATTCTTTTTTTATGTATATTTTTATTTATTTTTATATATATATTTTAACATATATGACTAAAATGTGAAGATTATAAACTTTTGAGCTTAACCTAACCTAACAAAAGTTTAGTAAAATAAAATATATAAAATCTCATAAGCAATACACTTGCTTCATTATTCCAGCATACACTTATGTTCTGCTTATGTTATACCTGCCCAAAAAGGTAATGGCTACTACTGTGTTGAACTGAGACATATAATGTGGCCAAGTTTAAAATAAATATAAAATTAGATTAATTGAAAGCGTTAGCTTGGTGATGGGTCTGACAAGAAGACTTGTTATGTTGTTACTGCCAGCTCGGAAATCACTTTTAGCATATTTTCACTACCAGTTTCATGGTCATGTGAGACAAAATTCATAAAGATGTGTGAAAATTGCCCATACCTTCTCTTTCAATCTTGCAAGCTAATGGCCAAGAAGTTGCTCATGTACAAATGAAGATATTGCAAGCACTTTTCTAAAGCACTTCTCCTACCATTTAATCATCTTCACTTGTTCCCCTGCCTTCTTAGCTACCAAGACATGAGCTGTTAGAACCTCACCTTTTGTTTTGTCTCATTGTCTTTATGACTATAACCAACCATTTAATATGGTGTAACTCAAACTTGTTGTACATTGGTCTGGAAATACCTTAGTCGGTCCTGATGACGTGCATTATGATATGCTATACCATTTTACTTTCCTTCCTCTCTTGATCTTCTTAACCAGATTTATCTGAAGGAGGATCTTTCAGACTTATAGTGTCTATCTGTTGTTACTCCTTCTAAGCATGGGAAGAATCCCAAATTCCTTTTAATTACAGATAGTGTAACATGATACTTTGACTCGCTGTCTCTGTAAGATTTTAGAAAGGATGGTTATTACTCATTTTGTGTGGTTCCTAGAATTAAATAACTTCCTCTCAAACATCCATTATAGCTTCCATAGACAGCAATCCATCCTAAACCACCAGATTTGATTTGAAACTAATCAGGAAATCCTTTCTCAAGAGCAACCATCATGTATCTATCTTTATTTGATCTTGAGAAAGCTTATGGAACTAAATGGGAGTTTGGTATTTTACAGGACCTCCATTCGTATGAGGTACATAGCCATTTATTCATTTTAAGCAATAAGTCATTCTGGGACCATGTGAGATTAACATTCTCCTTATTCATCATACAGGAACTCAGTTTAACTCAGCATTTAGCATTAAGATCATTGTTATCACTAGAAAAGCTTCCACCTACAGTTACAGAAAAAGCATCTGTGTTGATGACGTACAGGTTTTCTGTTGGTCATCAAAGCTGTCCTCAATAAATTATGAGCAGATAACTCCAAACCATTTCAAGTTATTGCCATCTAAAATGATGTACTTGTATCTGTGGTACCAATGGACATTGCACTTTTATCCCGAGATCCGTCTGGGAGGTGCACAAATTTCTGTGGTGGCTGCCTTCTTTTTGACAATAAGTTGACTTTTATTCCATACTAATTTTGAGTAGCTGACTGTTTTTGTGACATTAGTCATTTGAATCATAATTTCAATTAATTGATTATTTTATGCGACATTAATTGATGTAACCGGTGCTCTTAGATAATCAGTTAGTTGAGTTGATTGCCCAGTTGTGATGGTAACTGTAGGCATAGTGATACAGTATTTTCTTTTGTGTGTGATATTGGGAAAAACTTTCAAATTTCATATGTGATAATCAAATAATTAGTGTTCTTCACTCTGATTCAATGACTACAGTATACTCACATTAGGTTTACACTGCTAAGAGCATGATGTAGCATAAATGTGGCTGATTCAACCAAAAGGTTTTCCATCTGTTATTTGTTATCTTGGTGTACATTAGATAATTAGTTGTCAGATCTTTTATTTCTTGGAAGGAATTTGAATTTATTACTTAAAAACTTCTGATAAAGCTATTCAAATTAGTAAATGACAAATAGTTATTTAATTATCAATTGTCATTAGAAGATATAGCTTGGTTTGGCATGAAGATTAATCTTTCACAGCTGTGAGCTATTCATCCACTGAAGTTTTATAATGATCCTTTTATAAAATTTAAACTCTGAAATTATATACCAAAGTGTATCACTGCTGTATGCTATTGTTTACATCTTATTCTTATTGACAAATATAAGAGTATTTGAGCGTATTCTTTCTCCCCAGTATGTCTACCATATGATTATTGTGATTTTTTTATGTCAAAGAAATTGATTGATATTAAATTTGTCATTATATATTTCTTTATTTTTACCTCAGCATTTTTCATTTAGATACATCTTTGTCTTGCCTTCTAACCACTTTTGCCTTATATCAAGTTAGTTATATAAAAAATATGTTGTTAGTGTTTTTAAAATGCATGAAGTATCTCTGAGGTATTTGTTAATTCATTTTCATGTAACTTTTGTACATGCCTGTATATTGCTTCTAGGTGAGATCTGAGAAGAATGTACATGTGTATGGTTGTGGCTCTTGGTATAATAAGCATGTTTAAAACAGATTTTGAAGCTTAGCTAAAATACACAATTTTTTGCATGTTTGAAACAAAAACTTTTACTAGTTTTGGCACATTTACATGCTATTGGATTATTAAATTGTTTTTTCTTTGGTTTTTACCAATGAAGATTTAAGCAGTAATCCACATCTTGAACAGTTGGTAAGTGGAAACGAGATCAAACAAGATGACTGCATTAATTCTGAGCTGGTTAAGAAAAAATTGGGAAGATTAAAACATGATAAGGCTCCTGGGCCACATAGTATTTCCCCCGAGGGTTTTGAAAGAGG